TTGTTACAATCAGATAGATAGAAATAACACACTGTTACAATCAGATAGATAGAAATAACACACTGTAACAATCAGATAGATAGAAATAACACACTGTAACAATCAGATAGATAGAAATAACACACTGTAACAATCAGAAAGATAGAAATAACACACTGTTAACACAACACTATCAGTTTGCAGATGTCTAATGTTATTTAATACTTTTATAACTTTGCTTATTTAAAAAAACAACAGAAAAACTAAAGCTTGTTAAAGAGATAGTTTTATATTTATTCTTTTTGGTTAAATTGTCTGAAAAACAATAATTTTTTATCACTTAATAATTAGATACAGTCATTAACATCATATATAAAACACCCTGATTAAAACTAAAACTACAATTATATAATTAGGTTTCATAGGATATTGCATTAATTAACTCCTAAATGACCAGGTAAAAGTATGTATTTCATTTTTACAGTGTTACATCCAAAATTTAATCAAACAACTTTATTATCAAAGTATGTCTATAAACTGGGCATGAAAATGTAGTAATTAAAATGTTTATATTAACCACATTTTAATGTTTTGATTGTTTTTTTAAATATTGAAAAGAAATCTCATTCTTCAGAATTTTCTAACTTCTGAAATAGGCTGCTGCACTTTCCAACCAATTAGAAACACAAATTATAATTACAGGCTGTAGTTTTACAATATTCTATTCTAGTGCCTGATATTTTTTTTGTTCTAAAAAAGAATATTTGAAAAATATACAATTTTTGTTTTTTTTGGATACCTAAGTTTGTGAAAGTAAACATGGCTTAGAGGAATTCATTAAAAATGTTTACTCAAGTGAAAAAAGCCAGAATACACAGTGAGTAGAAGGAATTCTCGTTTTTTATGTGCATTGTTTTACTTACTGTTAAATATTTAAAAAAGTAAATAAAATGTAAAATGTTTTAAGCTTCTCAGCTTAGCCTAACAACACTTCAGTAAAATAAAACATCTAAATTTTCACTAGTTTTAGTGCTTGTACCAAACATGACAATAGATATGTTAGCTGTGCCAGAAATAGCTATAGAGCTCTTGCTGTGATTTATTGCTTTTAACATAAAGATGATTATTTCAGTGGTACAAAGTATGGCAATAAAAACATGAAATTACAGAAAAAACATGTGAAAAAGGTTGATAGCTGAAAGTGTTAAGATAAGTATAATCTTTTAATCACTTGCATTGATGATTTTTGTACATTTAATGTTAGGGTAGAGAAAACATGAAACAAAGAATTAAATCATATTACACCGTTACACATAGAATCCAGTCGGGATGGAGAAATTGGAAAAATGCGTCGGGAGTGCTATGCAACAATAAGATCAGTGCAAGGGTGAAAGGAAAGGTCTATAAAACCGTTGTGAGACCTGCGATGATGTACGAAGCGGAAGCCTGGCCCATCAAAAAGGCTCAAGAGAAGAAATTAGAGGTAGCCGTAGAATGTAAAATGTTGAG